ATCTATCTATCTATCTCTGTCTGTCTGTCTGTTTGTCTGCATGTCTGTCTGTCTGTCTGTTTATCTATCTATCTCTGTCTGTCTGTCTGTCTGTCTGTTTATCTATTATTCTGTCTGTCTGTCTGTCTGTCTGCAGTCTGTCTGTCTGTCTGTTTATCATCATTCTCTCTGTTTATCCTATCTCTCTCTCGTCTGTCTGTCTGTTTATCTATCTATCTCTGTCTGTCTGTCTGTTCATCTATCATTCTGTTTGTCTGTCTGTCTGTTTATCTATCTATCTATCTCTCTGTCTGTCTGTCTGTCTGTCTGTTTATCCATCCATCTATTCTGTCTGTCTGTCTGTCTGTTCATCTATCTCATTCTGTCTGTCTGTCTGTTCATCTATCTATCTCTGTCTGTCTGTCTGTCTGTTTATCTATCTATCTCTGTCTGTCTGTCTGTTCATCTATCTATCTCTGTCTGTCTGTCTGTCTGTTCATCTATCTATCTCTGTCTGTCTGTCTGTTCATCTATCTATCTCTGTCTGTCTGTCTGTCTGTTCATCTATCTATCTCTGTCTGTCTGTCTGTTCATCTATCTATCTCTGTCTGTTTATTTATCTATCTATCTCTGTCTGTCTGTCTGTCTGTTCATCTATCTATCTCTTCGTCTGTCTGCATGTCTGCTGTCTGTCTGTCTGTCTGTTCATCTATCTATCTCTGTCTGTCTGTCTGTCTGTTCATCTATCTATCTCTGTCTGTCTGTCTGTTCGTTCATCTATCTATCTTGTCTGTCTGCATGTCTGTCTGTCTGTCGTTCGTTTATTCATTCATCTCTGTCTGCCTTTCTGTCTGTCTGTCTGCATGTCTGTCTGTCTGTCTGTCTCTGTGTTCGTCTGTTTATCTATTCATTCTGTCTGTCTGTCTGTCTGTCTGTCTTGTCTGCATGTCTGTCTGTCTGCATGTCTGTCTGTCTGTCTGTCTGTTTATCTATCTATCTCTGTCTGTCTGTCTGTCTGTCTGTCTTTGTCTGTCTGCATGTCGTTCTGTATGTCTGTCTGTCTGTCTGTCTGTTCATCTATCTATCCCTGTCTGTCTGTCTGTCTGTTCATCTATCTATCTCTCTGTCTGTCTGCATGTCTGTCTGTCGTCTGTCTGTTCATCTATCTATCTCTGTCTGTCTGTCTTGTCATCTGCATGTTCGTCTGTCTGCATGTCTGTCTGTCTGTCTGTCTCTGTCTGTCTGTTTATCTATCTATCTCTTGTCTGTCTGTCTGTCTGTCTGTCTGTCTGTCTGTCTGTCTGTCTGCATGTCTGTCTGTCTGCATGTCTGTCTCTGTCTGTCGTTTATCTATCTATCTCTGTCTGTCTGTCTGTTCATCTATCTATCTCTGTCTGTCTGTCTGTCTGTTTCATTCATCTATCTCTGTCTGTCTGTCTGTCTGTCTGTTTATCTATCTATCTCTGTCTGTCTGTCTGTTCATCTATCTATCTCTGTCTGTCTGTCTGTTTGTTTATCTATCTATCTCTGTCTGTCTGTCTGTTCATTCATTCATTCTGTCTGTCTGTCTGTCTGTCTGTTCATCTATCTATCTCTGTCTGTCTGTCTGTCTGTCTGTTTATCTATCTATCCTGTCTGTCTGTCTGTTCATCTATCTATCTCTGTCTGTCTGTTCGTCTGTCTGTTCATCTATCTATCTCTGTCTCGTCTGTCTGTTTATCATTATCTCTGTCTGTCTGTCTGTTCATCTATCTATCTCTGTCTGTCTGTCTGTCTGTTCATCTATCTATCTCTGTCTGTCTGTCTGTCTGTCTGTTCATCTATCTATCTCTGTCTGTCTGTCTGTCTGTCTGTTCATCTATCTATCTCTGTCTGTCTGTCTGTCTGTCTGTTCATCTATCTATCTCTGTCTGTCTGTCTGTTCATCTATCTATCTCTGTCTGTCTGTCTGTCTGTTCATCTATCTATCTCTGTCTGTCTGTCTGTCTGTCTGTTCATTCATCTCTGTCTGTCTGTCTGTTCATCTATCTATCTCTGTCTGTCTGTCTGTCTGTTTTTCTTATCTGTCTGTCTGTCTGTCTGTCTGTTCATCTATCTATCTCTGTCTGTCTGTCTCTGTCTGTCTGTTCATCTATCTATCTCTGTCTGTCTGTCTTTCTGTTCATCTATCTATCTCTGTCTGTCTGTCTGTTCATCTATCTATCTCTGTCTGTCTGTCTGTCTGTTGTTCATCTATCTATCTCTGTCTGTCTGTCTGTCTGTCTGTTCATCTATCTATCTCTGTCTGTCTGTCTTGTTCATCTATCTATCTGTCTGTCTTCTGTCTTGTTCATCTATCTATCTCTGTCTGTCTGCATGTCTGTCTTCGCCTGTCTGTCTGTTCATCTATCTATCTCTGTCTGTCTGTCTGTCTGTTCATCTATCTGTCTCTGTCTGTCTGTCTGTCTGTTCATCTTGTCTATCTCTGTCTGTCTGTCTGTCTGTCTGTTCATCTATCTATCTCTGTCTGTCTGTCTGTCTGTTCATCTATCTATCTCTGTCTGTCTGTCTGTCTGTTCATCTATCTATCTCTGTCCGTCTGTCTGTCTGTCTGTTCATCTATCTATCTCTGTCTGTCTGTCTGTCTGTTCATCTATCTATCTCTGTCTGTCTGTCTGTCTGTCTGTTCATCTATCTATCTCTGGTCTGTCTGTCTGTCTGTTCATCTATCTATCTCTGGTCTGTCTGTCTGTTCATCTATCTATCTCTGTCTGTCTGTCTGTCTGTTCATCTATCTATCTCTGTCTGTCTGTCTGTCTGTCTGTTCATCTATCTATTCTGTCTGTCTGTTCTGTCTGTCTGTTCATCTATCTATCTCTGTCTGTCTGTCTGTCTGTTCATCTATCTATCTCTGTCTGTCTGTCTGTCTGTCTGTTCATCTATCTATCTCTGTCTGCTTCGTCTGTCTGTTCATCTATCTTATCTCTGTTTGTCTGTCTGTCTGCTTCATTCTATCTATCTCTGTCTGTCTGTCTGTCTGCTGTTTATCTATCTATCTCTGTCTGTCTGTCTGTCTGTTCATCTATTCATCTCTGTCTGTCTGCATGTCTGTCTGTCTGTCTGTCTGTCTCTGTCTGTCTGTTTATCATCTATCTCTGTCTGTCTGTCTGTCTGTCTGTCTGTCTGTCTGATACTCGCCTTTGTACTCAAAGGCTCTCCCCTCCCTCGTCCTCCTGCACCTGGACAAGGGAATATAAAATAATAACAAAATAATTGAAAAAAAAATAATTAAAAAATAATTTTAAAATGTGACGACTGACCGAAAATAAATTAATTTTTTTCGTTATTGAAAAGGAGGCCAATTACTGATAGTTATTGATTGTTATTGTTATTGTTGCAAAAATATATTCCCATTGTGTTTTTTTATTTTTATTTATTGTCCAAAAAACGATGTTGCCGTCTTGGTGGTCAGGATTTACTTTTTTGATTACTTGATGTGTGTGTGTGTGTGTGTGTGTGTGTGTGTGTGTGTGTGTGTGTGTGTGTGTGTGTGTGTGTGTGTGTGTGTGTGTGTGTGTGTGTGTGTGTGTGTCACCCTACCCCCTCTTACTATCACACAACTTACTCCATTTTATTACTATCCCACTCACCTTCAGTACTGCCCCACTCATCACCCCACCACCACCAACTATCAATCCACCAACATCACCCCACCACTGCCCACTTTCACCACCGCCCACTCTTCCCCACCATCTGGCCACCACCACCCACTTTTCCCCACTCTTCAGGCCACCACCACCCACTCTTTCCTCATCAGCCACCAGCACCCACTCTCCCCATCAGGCCACCACACCACTCTCCCCACCATCAGGCCACTCACCACCCACTTCCCACCATCAGGCCACTCACCACCCACTCCACCATCAGCACACTCACCACCCACCCCACCATCAGGCCACCCACCACGCCACTCACCACCCACTTTCCCACCATCAGGCCACTCACCACCCACTCTCTCCCACTCATCAGCCCACCCCACACCCACTCTTCCCCACCATCAGGCCACTCACCAGCCACTCTCTCCAACTCATTAGGCCCTCACCACCCATTCGCACTCACCAGGCCACCACCTCACCCACTTTCCCACCCATCAGGCCACTCACCAGCCACTCTCCCACCATCAGGTCACCACCACCCACTCCCATTCATCAGGCCATTCACCACCCACTCTCCCACTCAGGCCATTCCCCACCCACTTCCCACCAGGCCACTCACCACCCCTCTCCCACCACCATCAGGCCATTCACCACCCACTCTCCCACCATCAGGCCATTCACCACCCACTCTCTCCCACCATCAGGCCATTCACCACCCACCTCCCACCAGGCCACTCACCACCGACTCTCCCACTCTTCAGCCACTCACCACCCACCCCCACCATCAGGCCATTCACCACCCACCTCCCACTCAGGCCACTCACCGCCCACTCTACCACTCACCCCCCACTCTCCCCACCCATCAGGCCACTCACCACCCACTCCACCCCCCACTCACACCCACTCTCCCACTCATCAGGCCACCAACACCCACTCCCCACTCACCGCCCACTCTCCCACTCACTGCACCCCACTCACCACCCACTCTCCCACTCACCACCCACCTCTCCCACTCACCACCCACTCTCCCACTCACCACCCACTCTCCCACTCACCGCCCACTCTCCCACTCACCGCCCACTCTCCCACTCACCACCCACCCACCCCACCACTGCCCACTCTCCCACTCACCACCCACTCCCACTCCACCACCCACTCCCACCACCACCCACTCTCCCACTCAGGCCACTCACTGCCCACTCTCACTGCCCACTCTCCCACTCACCACCCACTCCACCCCACCACCGCCCACTCTCCCACTCACCACCCACTCTCCCACCATGGCCCTCACCACCCACTCTCCCACTCACTGCCCACTCTCCCACTCACGCCCACTTCCACTACCGCCCACTCTCTCCCACTCACCACCCACTCTCTCGGCCACAGATTGACCTGCACGGGAGCATCTTAGACAAGTCCTCGTGTGACACAGGCAGCCGGTGTGTCTCCCAGGACGTGGAGATCCTCCTGAGGAAGTCCCAGACACTGCTAGACAGGTGAGTCCATGTTGCTTCACTACCACCAACACCACCACCATGGGTCAGTACCACCAACACCACCATGGGTCAGTGTTGGTTCAGTACTACGAACACCACCATGGGTCAAACACACCACCATGGGTCAGTGTTGGTTCAGTACCACGAACACCACCATGGGTCATTGACACACCTGTGTTGGTTCAGTACCACTGAAAACCACCATGGGTCAGTGTTGTTCAGCACGAACACTCACCATGGGTCAGTGTTGGTTCAGTACCACGAACACCACCATGGGTCAGTGTTGGTTCAGTACCACGAACACCACCATGGGTCAGTGTTGTTCAGTACCATGAACACCACCATGGGTCAGTGTTGGTTCAGTACCACGGAACACCACCATGGGTCAGTGTTGGTTCAGTACCACGAACACCACCATGGGTCATTGTTGGTTCACAACCACGAGAATACTACTGTGGGTCAGTCTTCAGTACCACGAACACCCTGACCTACTTTATCACCCTGACCTACTTAATCACCCGACCTTTTTGACCTCTGACTGCTTTATCTCCCTGACCCACTAACTCCCTGACCTACTTATCACCCTGACCATTGTAATCACCTCTGACCTGCTTTAACTCCTGACCTACTTTATCTCCTGACCTACTTTAACTCCCTGACCTACTTTATCACCCTGACCTACTTAATCACCTGACCTGCTTTAACTCCCTGACCTACTTTATCTCCTGACCCATTTTAACTCCTGACCCACTTTATCACCCTGACCTACTTAATCACCCTGACCTACTTTATCACCCTGACTCCATTTTATCACCCTGACCTACTTTATCACCCTGACCTACTTAATCACCCTGACCTACTTAATCACCCTGACCTGCTTTATCTCCCTGAGGTGAGACCACCATAGTGAGGGCAGCAGTGACAACACGGACACCTTGGTGCCGGGAGTCTTCACCAACGCCCTCCATCTGGCCGTCGACTACGGGGCAGCGGACGTGAGGCTCTCCTCCACACGGCGTGAGCCAACCGTGGGACTGGTCAACCTGGGTAGGTGGTGGGTGAGGATGGGGGGTCTGTGCCTGCACGGCTGTCCCTGCGGGTCACCCACCAGTGTGCTCAGTGTGGACAGGAGGAGCCTCAACACAGCTCACAGCCCTTTCATGGGATCCCTCACCCGCTGCTCACCAAGGGCGTCTCCCAGAGCGTCACCCAGGGCGTCTCCTAGAGGCTCCCCCAGGGTCTCCCCCAGGGTCTCCCCCAGGGCCTCCCCCCGAGGTTCTCCCAGGTGTTCTCCTCGTTCAGGTTCTCCACGATCCTTCTGTTCTCGCCCTTCATCTCCTCTGGCAGGAGGTGACCGTGGCCCGAGGGCCCCGTCACCAAGAGCCGCCTCCCCGCTAAACTTTGTGCCCCCGCCCGTCCCCTACTGTGACCCCGAGGTGCGGCTCCGGCCTCAGTCTTTCCAGCGGCAGCAAATACTACAGATACAGCAAGCACAGCAGCAGCTGGTACTGCAGCAGGGCGTGACGGTCGGGGAGGAGGAGAGGAACAAAGTTCGTGTCTCGTCACGCACTCCAGAACCCTCCAGGACAGCCAGCGGCGGCTTCAGTGCTGGTCATGTTGGCGGCGGCCTTAGTACTGGTTATGTTGGCGGCAGCTTTAGTTCTGGTCATGTTGGCGGCGGCTTTAGTGCTGGTCATGTTGGCGGCGGCGGCTTTAGTGCTGGTCACGGCGGCGGCGGCGGCTTCAGTGCTGGTCACATTGGCGGCGGCGGCGGCTTCAGTGCTGGTCACATTGGCGGCGGCGGCGGGTTGAGTAGTGGTGTGGGGGAGGAGGTGTCTGGTAAGCGAGACAACAGACTTGACTTCAACTTAGATGTTAGAACAGACAACAACAAGAAACAGTTAAACAGGCTGCCAAAACTTTCCAAAACGGGGCCAATAATAGTGAAGATAAGAGTCGGGTAGTGTTAGCGGGTGAGGCCATGTTGAGGAGTGGCCAGGAGAAGGCCAGAGAGAGGAACAGATCACCTGGAGGAGTAGAGAGCAGAAGCATCATCAAGGACGACTCCAGGAGGGACATCTTGAGGGAACAACGCGACAAGGATGAGAAGATGAAGGAGGCGAGGAAGGAGACATCCACTAGGAGGGTGTCTTGGGTGCCAGGCGTGACTGACAACGCCGCCGCTACCAGGGACAAGCCAGCCTATAAGAGGAGACACTCAGCCGTGGTCAAGTCCAGCGAGGTCACCTTCCAACGCCAGAGGTCATTCTCCCTCGATAGTCAACAGGTAGGTCAAGGCAGGTCTGACCCCCTCTGTTTGTATATTTTTTCAGGGTTAATATTGGGTAAATTAACCAAACTTTCTCCCGGGTGTTTTGAAACGTCACACTTTGTACAACTTTCTCTGGGGGAACTATTAGCACGCCAATGTATTGTGTGTATGACCAGAATACTGAATAATGTTGCATAATACAGTGTGTGTGTGTGTGTGTGTGTGTGTGTGTGTGTGTGTGTGTGTGTGTGTGTGATATCGGCATACATAACCACATAAGTAAATTTTCTGATGACACTAAAATAGGGCGTGTAATTAAATCTGGTGAGGACTCCGCAAAACTACATTTTTCGAATGGTCTAAAAATTGGCAGATGTAAACAGAGAAACCAAATATCAGATGAGCAACGAATTTATAGAGAAATCCGACTGTGAGTAATGATAAGTAGGGAACGAACTAGCGAACAGCGATCACAAAGAAGTAAGATTTAAATTAGAATTTAATGGCTGTCATTAGGAAAAATTCCATTAAAGTCTTAGATTTCAGAAGGGCAAACTTTGATAGGTTGAAAAGGCAGTTGAGAGAAGGGGTATCTCGTTTGGGGGTGAACTGCATGACCTCACACAATGTACCCACAGAGAGAGACCTCACTTGCCTGGAGACCTGACAAAGATAACCTCACAAAATATGATGGTTGAGGATGACCTGATCACGAGGTCTGAGGTTGAAAGAATTCCACAGACATATAAATAATGAGTTACTTAAAGCACAAAGGCAGAACATGCCATACAGATAACTCAGGTCAAACAACAATGACCTTAAATGGGTAGATAATTATTTAAGGTATATTATAGGACAAAGGAAGGCTATAGGTAGGAGAATAAATCGGGGTGAAGTTTACCTCCGTGATCATTATAAGGTATTGGCCGGTAGGGTTAAGACCGAGAGAAATAATGAACTGAAGGTAGCAAGGGAGGCGAAGGCAAACCCCAAGGGATTCTATCAAATGTATCAAACTAAAACACGAGAAAAGATTGGACCAATACAGTCAGATACCGGCGAGCTAACTGATAACGAAGGAGAAATGAGCAATAATCTGAATAAATATTTTTCAACAGTTTTCACCACCGAGAATTTAAACATGATACCCGAGGCACCGACTCTATACAGAGATATGAAGAAACAAATTAGCGAGATAGTAGTGACTAGTAACGATGTTAGTAAACAAATAGACAAACTAAAGCCTAATAAGTCACCTGGTCCCGATGAGATATTTGCCAGAGTATTAAAGGAATGTAAGAAGAGCTTAGTATGCCTCAGTAAAAGTTGTTTAACATGTCCTTAAAAACAGGTGTAGTACCAGAATCCTGGAGGATAGCGAATGTTATACCGATTTTCAAGAAGGAGATAGATCACTATCTCTAACTACGCCCAATCAGTCTAATATCAGTTGTAGGCAAAACTAGAAGCAATCATTTCAAACTCTACTCAAAATCACCTGGAGAAGCACAAAAAATTATCAATAACATGTAATAAATCAGTATTCACTCCCAGTAAACACTACCCTCACTGTCACTATGTTGAAATGAACTGTAGTTTGAGCTTTTCCCCATCTAGTTATTATATGTCTTATTTGTGTCACTTATGTTACTTGTATATTATTTGTAATTCGAAACCCATTCCCCAAATATGTAACTGTATATTTTCAGCCTTCTGGCTGCCAAGCTCTTTCAATAAACCGTTAATTATTATTATTATCATTATTAAGTTGATCAATGATTCCCAACATGGCTTCACAAGTGGACGTTCATGCCTAACTAATCTATTAACATTCTTTTCATCTGTTTCGGATCAGTGGACGAGGGGCGCAATTATGATGTGGTATATCTCGACTTTAGCAAAGCCTTCGACAGAGTCCCCCACGAAAGACTAATACAAAAAGTGGAGGCTCATGGGTTTGGAGGAGATATTCTAAAATGGATTAAGGCGTGGTTACAGGACAGGAAACAGCGAGTAAGCATTAACGGCACTAAGTCCCATTGGTGTGAACAGCAACATAAGTAAATTTGCTGATGACACTAAAATAGGACGTATAATTAAATCTGACGAGAGCTCCGCAAAACTACAGTCTAAAAAAATCGAATGGTGTGAAAAATGGCAGATGATATTTAATGTGGACAAAAAATGTAAAGATTACTCAGTATAGGAGATGTAAACAGGGAAACCAGAAACCAGATGAACAACGATGTTATACAGAAATCCGACTGTGAAAAGATTTAGGAGTAATGATAAGCAGGAATCTTAAGCCAAGTAAACAATGTGTTTTGCTCGTAACAAGGCTAATAAGTACTTGGTTCATACAAAGGAGTGTTAGTTACAGACGAGGTCATCCTAAAACTATATCCTGCGCTTGTTAGACCTCACTTGTATTACCAGGTCAGTGTTAGTTACAAGACAGCGAGGTCATCTAAACTATATCTTGCCTTGTTAGACCTCACTTGTATTACCAGGTCAGTGTTAGTTACAAGACTAGCGAGGTCATCCTAAAACTATATCCTGCGCTTGTTAGACCTCACTTGTATTACGCAGTTCAGTTCTGGTCACCGTATTACAGAATGGATATAGAATCCTTGGGAAGAATTCAGAGGAGAATGACAAGACTAATCCCGGGCATTAGAACCTTGAGTACAGAGACAGGTTAAGGCATCTTAATTTGCACTCCCTCGAGAGACGTAGAGTGAGGGGCCATATGATAGAGGTGTATAAATGGAAGTCAGGGCTAAACAAAGGTGACATTACAATGGTACTCAAACTATCCAACCAGGAGCGAACTCGTAACAATGGTTTTAAATTAGACAAATTTAGATTTAGGCGCGAGGTAGGTAAACACTGGTTTGGAAATAGAGTAGTGGATGAGTGGAACAAGTTACCAAACATCATCATTAACTCTAATACGCTGGATAGCTTCAAACAGAGGCTGGATGGATATATGAGCGATAGAGGTTGGGTGTAAACGGGACTGACCAGTATAAACCCGCTGCTGTTTCCTCCATTCTTATGTTGTGTGGGGAGTGTGTAGTACAGTATTAACTTGTGACACAACAGGTACGGCTCTCCATGCCCGGGTCGGCGTCGTGGCTAGTGGTGCCTCGGCCGGTCATCTCCACAGAGAACAACACGACACGTCTGACAGAGCCCCGAGGGGAGAGGGACCGCTCGGAGCCTCGCTACTTCACCTTCTCCGACGTCCACCCCTGTACCTGGGACGCCAACCCTGCCCACCCAGCCACCCAGGGGGGCGCGGGGCGGGGCACTAATGCCACCCGAGGAGGCACCACCCACTCTATGATCGGTGGAGTGAGTGATCCAGCTTCGACAAGGTTCCTAGTGCTGAACCCGGACGTGCCGAGGGAGAGACTAGTGACTTACACCAGTGCTGAAGGTGCTAGGTTGACCTTTGCTGACCTGTACACGCGGGATTACCTGTACACCTTACCTGTGTTGTTCCTGGCAGCTGCGAGGGGTAACTCAGCCATCACTTACCTGTTGCTCAAGTACGGTGCGGCGTCGGCAGCCACAGACGCACTAGGTAACACTCCCCTCCATGTGGCCGCCTGTCAGATGAACGTCGCCTGGGAGAGTGTACTCGACCTGCTGGAGTTTGGTGCGCCAATATCTCGACCTAACAGTGTGGGCAACCGAGCGCTCGACCTACAGCCAGCGCTAGTAAGGTAAGCTCTCTCTCTCTCTCTCTCTCTCTCTCTCTCTCTCTCTCTCTCTCTCTCTCTCTCTCTCGTCTTTCCATTCACATATTAAAACAGGTGCCAATTAAAACAGAAGTCTATTAGGACAGGGGTCTATTAGGATGGGGGTCTATTAGGATGGGGGTCTATTAGGACAAGGGCCTATTAGGGCAGGGGCCTATTAGGACAGGGGTCTATTAGGACAGGGCCTATTAGCACAGGGGCCTAACTAACACCCTCCACTACCCCCCCACAGGCTCCAGGAACAACTTGTACTCGACTGCTTCGCCACCTTCGAGCCGCCAGCCAGACCCGAACCTGACCCGGTGACCTCCTCCAACCGTGACCTGACCTCCGTGCCCGTGAGACAATCCTCCAATCTGCTGCGTCGCCTACAGGGTGTGGCCAGCAGAGAGAAGGCACCTGTACCGGGAGTACCCACGACCTCCAGCCTCCGGGGTCGTGTGACAGGGAGTCGTACTGGAGCGCTGAGAGGAGAAAGGGAAGAGGATGCCAGTGTGTCGTCGACGGAAGCCACGACCCATCTTCAGTCGTCTGGGAGTGTGAGAAGTCGTGGTGGTTCTGGCCCTGGCCTTGGCAACGACTACCGTAGTAAGGTGGGTAGTACGACCACCTATATGTGAGGTGTGAGCCTGTGTCCGGACGCTGGCTCTGGCTTAGGTGATAACTTCAACCCTGTGACAATAATATCACTCATGTTAATCATCGTATTAGTCATAGTATAAATATAAAGGTTAATTTATTTTATTAGTGTGAAAATTTCTGTGTTTATTAAAATTATTATTATTATTATTATTATTATTATTATTTTTTATTATTATTATTTTAAATTATATTATTTCTGTTGTTGTTATAAACCCCCCCCTCTCCTCTCCCTCAGGAATTGACGTGAAACGCTGAGTCATCTGGGCAACAGGAGGCGGATACGACAGCTGCACGAGGAAGGAATGGACTCTGAGAACGCTGGTGAGTGTGGTGGTGTGGTAGTGTGTTGCAGTGTGGTGGTGGTGTTGTGTGATGTGGTGTGGTGTGGTGGTGTGCCAGTGTGGTAGCATTGTTGTGGTGGTGATGTGGTGGTGGTGTGTGGTGAGTGTGGTGGTGTGATATTGTGGTGGTGGTGTGTGGTGGTGTGCCAGTGTGTGTAGCATTGTTGTGGTGGTGTGGTGGTGGTGTGTGGTGAGTGTGGTGGTTGTGATATGGTGGTGGTGGTGTGTGGTTGTGTGGTGGTGTGCTAGTGTGGTAGTGTGGTGGTGTGGTAGTGGAAGGTGTGGAGTGGTGATGTGGTGGGTGTGGCTGATGCGTAGTGTGGTAGTGTGGTAGTGTGGTGGTGAAGTAATATATCAGAGTTCCATACAGTATGAGTCTTGCCTCCTCCTCACCTCACCTGCCTCCTCCTCCTTCAGGCAAGACGACAGTGGCTGAAGCAGAACGAAGCATCGGGCTGTTGAAGCGACTGTCATCCAGCTCGGAGTGTTTGGGGTTCATTGCCAAGAACCTCCTCGCCTCCGCCTCCAACATCATCGACTTCTACGAGCGCTGCAACGAGACTCACCTACACACCTGCTTCAGCTCCCTCCTACACAGTGTC